GGTGGCAGTAGCAGAAGCAGCAACAGCACTAGTAGCAGGAGGAGGAGGAGGAGGAGGAGGAGGAGGAGCAGCGCAGCAGCAGCAGCAGCAGCAGCAGCAGGAGCAGCAGGAGTAGTAGTAGCAGCAGTAGTAGCAGCAAGAGCAGCAGGAGGAGTAGTAGTAGTAGTAGCAGCAGCAGCAGCAGCAAGCAGCAGCAGGAGTAGTAGCAGTAGCAGCAGCATCAGCAGCAGGAGTAGTAGTAGTAGTAGTAGTAGTAGTAGCAGCAGCAGCAGCAGCAGTAGCAGAAGCAGCAGCACTAGCTTTGGACGTCGCATAGTGGTAAGACAAAGGGAAGCAACTGGCAGAACTCCGGGACTCCCTGGTCAGGCGGGATCTTAGACGGTTGGGTTCCCAGCCTCGAGAGGTACGGGGCGGACCAAAGGACCCGGAGCTCTTTTGAAACTCGCAAAAATCCTCCTAAGCCGTAGACGCCACGCTCCATCAACTCCTGGTCCACTTGGTGGATGCTGACCACATCCAGGAAGCAAACAGGATGCCGGCCGCAGAGGGCCGGAAAATAGGGCGTCAGCACGAGCCCCAAGAAGCTTCCCACGAAGGAGAAGACGAGGCACCAAGGGAAGTATGGGCAATGATGCGCATGGTACTCGGCAAATTCCGGCACAATGCTGAAGGGCAGTGGGAGTACGTTGCAGAAGCTCAGCACGAAAGCTGAGACCACACTGACCGACCAAAGTTGAAGCATGTGCTTCCACCCTGCCTGAAACAAAAGGCTGAGGACTTTGTACCTGTCGCGGCTGGTTAAAGACATCATTTAAGTACGCCACCAGCAAAGCCGCAAAACTGCACAGTACCGCACTTTCTCATGCCTCCCTGGCGTCTGCCATGTGTGCGACAAAAAGATGTCGTAGGCCACCACCGGTGCTGAACGGTCGTACAAGTGCCGGCGGCCCTTTCAGCAAGAGAGAAACAGTAGAAACAGGATCAATGCTCAGAGGCTTAGAGACTCTTAGGCTTAGCGGCTTTCCTCCTGGCTTCGAATCCGAGCCCCTGCACTTAAGACCTGCCCAACCGTGGGCTCTCACGGCGCCTCCTCCGCCAGATCGATGGGAGACTTGCACCATAGGAGACCCAGGTTGCGAAGGGAAGCGTGAAGGGAAATTCCGCGCACGATTTCGGCGTCCACCTTTCTGCATCCATGTTGGTGCATGTCTCAGTCCGCATGAGCGCCAACTGGCCTCGAGGTGTCGCATGTCCTGAAGCCGGCTCCACTTGCCTTAGTGCAGACTCCGGGCTAATTGCACAGTTGACATCTTTGCTTAGCTGAGTGGCTCAGTGTACGTGAGGGTCGCGAGCCCAGCGTACCAGCAGAGGGTGACGTCAGAGCCGGCACGGCCACCGGGGGCACCTTTTCAGGGCTCTGGGCAAATTGAGGAGCAATGGGCTTACTCCTTTTGTGGCCCAGTTGCAGCATCGCTGGAGGACGAGCTGGACGGAGCACGGCTGTGGCTGTGAACCACTTCTGGAGGTTCCTAGCTAGACACAGACCCTTCAGGAGCTTTGAAAGGCTGCGATGGGAGTGCTCGTGCGCGCCTTGGGTCCCTCCACGAGCTCCTCCTCTTGACAGCAGCTGCTGCTCAAACCCATCCAGGATCCAATTCCCAGAAAACCCCACGTTCTTGTGGCGTAGTAAGCATTGTCGGGAGTGATGGTACCGTGCTTGATGCAGCGTGGCAATGCAGCATGCTTTGCTTAGCAACAGGTTTATGGCATGCGCACACATTATGATGGTGTATGTATATGTCTGCAATACTATACATATCATGATAAATATATATATATATATACACATACATACATACATACATACATACATACATACATACATACATACATAGGTACATACCTACATACATGCATGCATATGTGTATGTGCATGTGCATGTGCATGTGCATGTGCATGTGCATGTGCATGTGTATGTGTATATGTGTATATGTGTATGTGTGTATGTGTGTATGTGTGTATTGC